TCGCTGAGTTACAAATCATTTTCTGTCACGTTTCAGAATGAACTTTGCATTGAGAGAGAGAGAAGGGCACCATGTTTATTTTCTTTATTTTATGAAAAACGCAACATTTTGTTTTTATTATGAATGTACACAAATAAAATAAGACATTTAACCATTTTGAATGATGTACAACACTTATTGTCACGGATCCATCTGCGTCAGCACCAGACACCTTCACTCCGCCCACTCGTTCCAGCTCCCCAGCATTCTAATCACTGTCACCTGCCCGCTTCAATCACCGTCCCAATCATCCTCCCTTTATAAACTCACTCCTCACAATCACTCACCGTCTGGTCTCGTCGACACTTCGGCTACAGACTCCCGCTACTCTACTGCTTACGATAAGGAATACTTACCCGCTTGCTTCAGTCCTGTCTGCTTCTCATCCGCTCCTGGTCCCCAGTCTTCATCTGGTCATCTGTCCGCTGCCTCAGCTCTCCGTCTCTCCGTCCTGCTCAAGATAAGAAATTCATTATCAGACTGTTTCCCGCTCCATTACCGAACTTTCTCCATTATATACTCACCTGCTGTTTGACCATACCCCCTGTCTCAATAAACCTGGTTTACCCTTATCCATCTGTGTCCTTCTAGTCTGTGACAGAAGACCAGATCAACAATATGCAGCAATCTACCCCGAGCACCAGCGCTACACCGGACCCACCTTCTCCTATCATTCCCCGGACCAGCGCTCCAGCACTCGCCACATCCACAGTAACCACTTCTTCCTCATCTGCCTCTGCCAGTCCCATGGCCCAACCCAACATGGAACCCAACCTGCAGCGGCTTCCTCTTGCAGTGCGAGCTCTACATGGAGATGAACCCGTTATCCTTCCCCACTGAACGATCAAAAGTAGCCTTCTTCATTTCACTCCTGCGAGGCCGAGCGCTCAATTGGGCTCACGCCCTTTGGAAAGATCGCAGTCCAGTTACCCGGACATTCACCGCTTTCTCCGGCCACTTCACCGAGGTGTTCTCGCAGTCTGCACATTCCATCTCGGTCCAGGATCAGCTGTACCGTCTGAGGCAAGGGAGATCGTCCGTCGCCTTATATGCGCTGCAATTCCGCACCCTCGCCGCTACTCTCGGTTGGAACGAGTCTGCACTCATCACCGCCTACCGTCATGGTCTAAATCCTGATATCTGCCTCCAGCTCGCGATTTATGACGACAACGTCGGCATTGAGAGCATCATCCAGCGATCCATTCGCATCGATCAGCGACGCACTGCATGCCAGCTCGACAGCCCTGCACCTCCAACTCCTCGTCCAGTGCCCCGCCACCACAGTCCTCCAGCACCAGAGCCTATGGAAGTCGGTACCACTCACCTGCCAGTGGCCGAGAGAAATCGTCGCATCACCAACGGGCTGTGCCTATACTGTGGAGCCTCCGGCCATCTGCTCGCCTCCTGTCCCGTCCGCCCTCCCCGACCCGCTGTGAGTACGGTCCAATTACCATTGCCCATCTCCTCCTTGAAATTCACTGCGGCCACTATCACTTATCTGAACCGTTCCATTTTTAGTCCAGGCGCTGATCGACTCCGGATCAGCGGCCAACTTCATCGCTCTGTCCACGTTAAACCGGCTACAAACCAAGCAACGAACCATCCCTCATAAACTTCAAGTCCAAACCATTCTGGGACAACCACTAGGACGCGGCCGGGTTGGACATCGTAGCCCCGACTTGGGGTTGGAGATCGGCTGGCTCCACAGGGAAGAGATATCCTTTCTGGTGCTGGAGGGCTCGACGGCTGAGATCATCCTGGGACGCCCCTGGTTGGAGACCCATTCGCCGCATATCCAATGGTCCATCGGCGAGGTTCTACGAAGGGGTCAGGACTGTTTTCAGCGTTGTCTGTCATCTGTGACGAAAACGCAGGTTCCTTCCCCCACTCCGCCAGTTCCGCTCTCCACCACCTCCGTGGAGAGCCCACCAGTGGAACCTTCTCCCGAGATCCCCTCTCCCTACCGGGCGTTCCAGGATGTCTTCGATAAACGTCACGCTACCATCCTACCTCCACATCGGCCATGGGACTGCGCGATCGACCTGCTGCCTGGGGCGGTCCTACCGCGAGGTAAGATCTACCCTCTGTCCATCCCGGAGCAGAAGGCCATGGAGGAGTACATCCAAGAGGCTCTCGATCACGGATTCATTCGACCATCAGTGTCCCCTGCCGCTTCGAGCTTTTTCTTCGTGGGCAAAAAGGATGGAGGCTTGCGCCCTTGCATCGACGACCGTATCCTCAACCAAGCTACAGTTAAATTCCGCTATCCTCTTCCTCTGGTCCCAGCAGCCCTGGAACAACTCCGAGGGGCATCCGTTTACACCAAGCTAGATCTTCGTAGTGCCTACAACCTCATCTGAATCCGGGAAGGAGATGAGTGGAAGACCGCCTTTATCACCCCCGCAGGGCACTACGAATATCTCGTGATGCCCTTCGGATTGTCCAACTCACCCGCCATCTTCCGGGGCTTCATGAATGAAATATTCCGCGATCTCCTCAATCAGTTCGTCGTCATATACATTGACGATGTCCTCATCTACTCTCCCGATCTGACCTCCCATATCCACCATGTTCAGACAGTGCTCCAACGTCTTCGAGATTACCATCTTTATCTCAAACTGGAGAAGTGCGAGTTCCACCAAAGCACCATCCACTTCCTCGGTTACGTCATCACCCCACACGGAATCAACATGGACCAGAGGAAGGTGGAAGTGGTACTCCACTGGCCCCAACCCACCACCCGTAAGGAACTTCAACGTTTTCTGGGATTTGCAAACTTCTACCGCCGTTTCATCCAGAACTTCAGTCCCATCAGTTTCCCACTCACCGACCTTCTCAAGAGCGGGGCCAAGTCTCTATCCTGGAACACCCGAGCCACCCAAGCCTTCCAAGACCTGAAGTCAGCCTTTAGCTCCGCTCCTACCCTCGCCCTTCCAGACCCCGCCGTACCCTTCCTCGTCGAGGTGGATGCCTCCATCTCGGGGGTAGGAGCGGTCCTCTCTCAGCGGCAGGGGAATCCACCTCAACTCCATCCATGCGCCTTCTACTCCAAGAAACTGTCCCCGGCGGAGCAGAATTACGACATCGGCAACCGGGAGTTACTGGCCATTAAACTGGCGTTGGAGGAATGGAGGCACTGGCTGGAGGGAGCCCAACACCCGTTCACAGTGATCACTGACCACCGCAACCTCGAGTATCTCCAAAATGATAAGAGACTCAATCCCTGTCAAGCCCGTTGGGCCCTGTTCTTCACTCGCTTCAATTTCTCAGTCACCTATAGCTCCGGAGAAAAGAACGTAAAAGCGGATGCTCTCTCCCGTCAGTTCCAACCCGAGACACCTCCTTCCGAGCCTGAGTCCATTCTCCCTCCAGCCGTGGTTGTCAGCCCCATCCAATGGAGTCTGGATGACCACATCGCCGAAGCCACACTACTCGAACCTGCTCCGCCGGGAGGTCCAGAGGGACGGGTCTATGTCCCAACCCGTCTACGCCTGTCCCTCATGGACTCAGTACACACCTCTCCGGGCTCTGGACACCCAGGCAGCCAATCCACTCTCTCGCTCGTCCAACAGCGCTATTGGTGGCCGGGTATGGCCCAGGATGTCTCTCGGTTCGTCAAAGGATGCTCAGTCTGTGCCATGGCCAAGGTTCCCCGTCATCTCCCAGAAGGCAAGCTGGTCCCTCTCCCTATACCCACTCGACCTTGGTCTCATCTCGGGGTGGACTTTGTCACCGACCTGCCCGTGTCTAACAACCACACTTGCATTCTGGTAGTAGTGGACCGCTTCTCCAAGGCGTGCAAACTAATTCCCCTTCCAGGTTTGCCAACAGCCCTTGAAACAGCAGAGGCGCTGTTCCAACACATCTTCCGTAACTTTGGCATCCCCGAGGACGTCGTCTCCGATTGAGGACCCCAATTCATCTCCCGAGTGTGGAGGGCATTCTTCAACCTTCTGGGAGTGACCGTCAGCCTCACTTCTGGATACCATCCCCAGTCAAACGGCCAGACTGAGCGGAAGATCCAGGAGATTGGGAGATACCTGCGGTCATACTGCCACGACCACCAGGACTGCTGGAGCCGTTACCTGCCCTGGGCCGAGCATGCACAGAACTCCCTCCGACAAACCACCACCGGACTCACCCCATTCCAGTGCATACTCGGCTACCAGCATCCACTATTCCCCTGGTCAGGAGAACCATCTGACGTCCCAGCAGTCCACCATTGGTTCCAGACGAGCGAGAGAGTCTGGGACTCAGCTCATACTCACCTCCAGCGGGCTGTTCGGAGACACCAGAACCAGGCCAACCTTCGCCGTACCGACGCCCCTCACTACCTTCCCGGACAACTGGTCTGGCTCTCCACCCGGGACATCCGTCTCCGACAGCCCTGTCCCAGGGTTCTGCTCCAACAACGGACCGAATAGCTTTTCTCACGTCTTTCTCCGCTGCCATTACTGCACTGAAACTGACGCACTACATCAACGTCATCGTTCTCAGCCACTCCCTCTATTCGCTGATTGGTCCTACAAAAAATTGATTTCTGGAAACCTAAGGATATGGAGCGGTCCCAGACGCAGTACTGAAGGAAAATGAAATTGAGCGGAAGTGCGTAGGCGGGCGCAGCCAGGCTAGCTTTAGAGTAGACTTGCCTGAAACTTATTCATTGGATTTCATAAAAAATGAACATGCATGTTAAATGCAGGTTGATCATATTATGTATATCACAGGGTTGCATCTTCAATTTCCTTCCGTTATAGTGCATTTGATGGATCTGTTGATAATGTTAATGTGTATACATTTTTATTTGTCTACATGACATCCAGCACTCTTGGTCTCTCCCACTTATCACAGTCAAAAACAGAGTTTTCTGAGGAGATACTTGGAGATAACGCTCTGGTCCAGACCCACCCCGGGAAATAAGCACACTAACAGCTCTGTGAGCGACACTCTAAACTGGGTGTTCTGGGTGAGGCTGTGTTTGTTAAGCAAGTCAACCATGGAAAAACTTACTTCCTCAGCCTCTGCTGGCAGTATGAGACTTCCTGCAGGTGTTCAAACATGCTATGAACCCACCTCCAAAACACTGCTACCTTGTCAGAAGCAAAACATCAATCTGAAACTGTGGCACTTTTAACCACTTCATGAAAACTGACCTCGGAACAGCTCTTTTTAGATGTTAAATGTTAATGCAACTTTGTGTATTATGCTCATATTGTTTAGCTGCTAAAGGGGAGACAGCTTTGAATGTCCTGCAAACTCTGCTTCCCCCATCCATCTAACGTTACGGAGAGGAGGAGAAGGCTTCAGACCCACGACCACAGAGGCACAGAGGTCCTTGACATGCGACCTGTAAGTTTTGCTTTAGTGTTTCTATTTCAATAAGGGTTGACGTTTGATATGCTTGATAACTATGAAAGTAATTTAGGTTTAGAATATTTAAAGGTGCAATCTCTGTTTGCAACATAAAAAAAATGTTAAAAATAGATTTTTGTTAATTTTTAAAGCTGCAGTCCATAACTTTTTTGTGTTCAAAATTTTACAAAATGTTTATGAGTGAGTACATCATGAATCCATTTCCCAAATCGTGTTTTTGTCTTATCCTGAATCTCAGACTATTTTAGACTGCTTGTCTGTTTAGATGTATGACATATTTGGTAATGTTTGCAATAAAAAATATAAATACTTTCACAAAAAAAGTTTAACTTGCATGTCAGTTATATTGCAACACTCTTAGTGATTGTGTGTAATCAACAGGTGGGGACCAACATGACCAGGGGCATCAGGGATGTAACGAGGGGAACACATCAGACTGTTGCCATTGTTCCAGGCCACGCCATCAAGTCTGAGTCTTTGCCGGAGGATGGTGATCTTTGTTTCAAAGTCTTATTTTGTTTTTCCATGTTAAATACACAAAGCCGTGTATCAAATTAATTGAAAAGAGTCGTCCTCTGTCAAATTTGAGGAAAACCCCGTGATATTTAGTCACATTTCACGTTTGTTTGTATCTATTCTTAATAAATCAACACATCTTAATAAATGAAATCATAATCATATAAGAGTTCATATTAGTTGCTTAATGACTTTTAAAGATGCATTGTGTAACATTTAGGAGGATCTGTAAACAGAAATGCAATATCATACACATAACTATGTTTTCAGTGGTGTATAAAGACCTTACTTAATGAACCGTAGTTTTTTTTTTTTTTTACCTTAGAATGAGTATACATTGTATAATTGTAATAATTGTTTACAAAAAATATATTAAAGAGATGTATTAAAAATGTAAAAAAAATAAAATAAAATAAAAAATAATAATAAATTATTGAAATCACAGTGGCCTCTCTGGTTTATTGTATTACAGAGAAAATCATTATTTTACATTAGTAATATAAAAAAATATTTATTACTAATTTTAATTTTATTACTAATTTTATTACTAATTTTTTAATTTTAATTTTCCTGCAATGATACAGGAAATAACCCAGCACATGAGTAAGACTTAACCCAGCAAGATGGTCAATTTCATCCACTGGTTGGGTCAAATGAATGACCCAACAATATGGGTTAAATGGAGAAACCCAGCACTTGGGTCAAACCAACCCAACCCAGGTCACTATAGTGTTCTGTCCTATAGTGACCCAGCGGCGTGGTTAAGGTTGGGTTATTTTTTAACCCTGCATTTTTTAGAGTGCATAGACCTGCATTATATGACAGACAGACAAGAACGGTTTTGACCTAAAAATATCAAAATTGAAAATACTGCCGAAACAAAGACCCCTACATCTTGGATGCCCTTGAGGTAAGCTAAAACATACCAAAAATTTATTTCAAAGTGAACTATCCCTTTAAATGGCCGAACTAACCCTTTAAGAACACGCACGACGGGGGTGCAAAAAAAAAAAGTCCATACTGTAGCTCTCCTTTTTTTAACACTACAAAGACAGTTCACCTATCAAAATAAACCACATAACATCTAGAATAAAGGCATATCAATGCGCATTTCCCGCCAGTCCTGTGTAAAATACAACAGCACTCAAAGTTTTTTATCCAACATTATCGTGAGATGTGGAGCCAGAGCACAAGAGAACAACGGCGTCTGAAGTAGCTGCTCTCGTAAAAGATCTTGCTCGCCTTTCAATTGTCCAATTTCAAAACTGTTTTCAGAGGATGAATTGATCAATAATATAATGAATCTGAATTTAAAAAATACAAGCCAAAAAAATGAAAATAATTTTCAAAAGCCGAAATTTCGGTGCATCTCTACTTGCTTTAGATTCTTTGCATTCAATACTAATAGAAAGAGTTCGTAAGCGTTTGAATTATACCTAATCTATGATGATTACTAAAATATATGATATGAAAAAAGGCAATAAAAAAGAGCGCGAATCGTCTGACGGTGAGAGTTAATTAAAATTGTTTTTCTCAAAATTCCATTCCTGAATATCATAATGATTACCCGCCCATAATGTTTGTTACCAACAAACAATTAAAGGGTTAGTTCACCCAAAAATGCAAATTCTGTCAGTATTTACTCACCCTCATGTTGTTCCAAACCCGTAAGGCCTTCGTTCATCTTCGGAACACAAATTAAGATATTTAAGATATTAAGATCACTCCTGCATAGTCCATAGGCTTCTTGAGGGAATGACTTGCTGTCCTCGAAAAGTCATTAAAGACATAGTTAAAATAGTCCAAGTGACTACAGTGGCTCAATCTTAAGTTTATCAAACGACGAGAACCCTTTTTTTGCGCAAAAACAACAAAAATAACGACTTTATTTCAAGTAATCGTTTATTTCTCCCTCTGCCTCGAGTCAGGTTACTAGTTTAATAGCGTAAGCTTCTGTTATTGTACAGTACGTCACACGCATCACACACATGACCAGCGTCGGCCAATAGTGAGCCTACGTGTGACGTAGCTCTACGCAAACACACTACGTTAACTGACTACAGGCCCATTGAGAAGGAAGTGAATAGTTGAAATAAAGTCGTTATTTATGTTTGTTTTTGCGCACAAAAAGTATTCTCATCGTTTGATAAAGTTAAAAATGAGCCACTGTAGTCACTTGGACTATTTTAACAATGTCTTTGATGAATTTTCGATGCCAGCAAGTGTCATTCCCTTAAGAAGCCTATGGACTAGTATGCAGGAGCGATCTTAATATCTTAAAAATCTTAATTTGTGTTCAGAAGATGAACGAAGGCCTTACGGGGTTGGAACAACATGAGGGTGAGTAAATACTGACAGAATTTTCATTTTTGGGTGAACTAACCCCTCAAATAAAAACAGATATTGAAAGTGGTTAAAACCATCTTAAAGGGTAACTAAACCCCTGGTCAGAGCCTGACACCACCCACTGACAATATTTCAAAAATGCTGAAAAAGTGGGCGAACCCCAGCGGAGATAGAGGGGACGAATTAGATGCTAAAACACTCTATCCTGATCGTTTTCAATACTCACAATTCCAACTCTTGGCTTGCTACAGTGGTTTTGACGAAACAAGCTGGTTTTTATACTGCCGCTCGTGCCAGGAGCGTGGTGAGCTGAAACCTGCGTACGTCACGAAGTGTGGAACATCCAATAGGAAAATTCAACTGCAGTAGCCACCGTTCAACCTGAAGAGGGCAGCACTAAGACGTTTTTACACCATATATTGTAGAAATAAAACACTATACACAAATGTCAAAAAAGTTACTCAAATCAATGACTGGTATTAATAAAGATCCATTCTTACAGATCGTTAACTAAAAAAAGTTGGTTTGGTGTTTAGTTACTCTTTAAATATGGTATCAAAACCTGTAATAGGTAAAATTTCAACATGTCATGGGTTTTCCCAGATTGCATCACAAATTATAAATTAATGCTTGTTTTATTTTTTGTTGCAAGCGACCCAGGGTAACAGTGCAAGTTTTTTTTTTTTTTTTTTTTTTTTATCTGAGCAACAACAATTAAACGTACAGTATGCGATTTTTGGCCACCAGGAGTCACAAAGAGCGTGGGCTCACGGGAGTTGTTGTCGCTGTCAATGACAACCAGGTCAGCTCATGATATGACATCATCGTTTCACAAAATATACGGATATACGGCATCTCTCTGTAGATTTAGCTTGTCAAGAAGCTTTAAATGCAACCCCAATGTTTACCTGTGTCATGCTTCTCCTGTCCCAAACCCTTCTCGGGTCATATTTTTCAGGTACGTTTGAGCTTTAGCTGATGAGCTGGCTGTAGCAGCAGAACGTGCAGGCAAAGCGTAATCGTAGTCCATAACTATAATACAGACGAATATAAATATTTATATTACGCTACTTCAATGAATGACCTATTTTAGAACATTTTTCATATATAGAGCGCACCGGATTATAAAGCACATAAGATACTGCAGTCTAACGTTTGACTGGGTTTGCGTTATGCATCCACTATGTGCTAAAGGCTAAAGGGAATGTAGTAAGTGCGCGGCGCCGGAGGTGAGGCGTTTATTTAGTAAGCATGAGAGAGCTGAAGCGGGCACGTCCATTCGCAGCCTGACTCATATGAGTATTCAATGTGCGCGGCTCGCTAACAACAGCAGTTGGCTGTTTTGAATGAGACGACCCGGTTACTGTGAACGGGGAGCGCTTTATGCGCGAGCAGCACCGGGGACAGTGTGTCTGTTAAGAGTGAGCGCTCGTGAGCGGGCACGTGATTTACACACATAAAAATACGTACTACTTTTTTTTCTTCCTCATTTTCTTTGCTTTATTGACGGTAGTCCAGTGTTCCCCTTTGTGTTTGGCGGTTTCGCCGGGTTCCGCAAGGAAGTTAGAGAAAATAGAGGAGTCAAAGGTTATATGACACCATAGACGGGCGACGAAACGGAAATAAAGAAACGTCCCGTGTCTTCGAATTAAACTATAAATTTCTCCGTATTTGAAATTGGGTGGAAACTGTCGGGATAATGTAAGTACACATCTAACAAAAATATATAACATAGATACAATTATTTTTGCTATTTTTAATGCAGAAAAAATACATATTGTGGCTTTAAAGCTCTAATTCAATAACTCTTGTCTGATGCACAATGATGATGTAATGTTTCACTCATTTTTTTTTATTTTATTTTTTTTTTACAATTTTTAACAAAACAAAATTGTTTTTTAACAACAGCATACCTGGCATATGTCCCCAGATGAAGACTGTGTGTCTTCTATTGGAGAGGACCCTGTTTCAATCAATGCCCATGTGAAGATCTTACAGGACCAGTACAAGAAGACCCAACCAGATGCTGCAATAGTGGATGAAAAAATGAAACAAACATTTGCTTGGAGGAGGAGGGAAATAACCAATGGCATTCCTGTTGCTGAAATGTTTCAAAAATATCCCTTCCTTAGGACCCCTTCAGTTGTTAGTAAAAAAAGAAAAGCTTATCTATATTGTTTACCGATTTCCATACAGTGAAAGCATAAAAAATATTGCTACTTTTTTTTGTAAACAACGCAATTTCTCAAATGTGGGAACAAGCGTTGGAAAGTTCCCATTAGAACATGGAAACATGTGTGTGAACTGTTGCTTAAGGTGAGAAAAGAAAAACTTTATTTAAATTAATTTTTTTTTTTCTTTTGGTATTTGTGTTTCAGTTGTTTCAGGAAATGGGTCGAATGCATGCCGAAAATAATTTCAGCCGGTGTTTCCAGGATTCCTTCAGCAAAATTGTCTCCAATGTTTTGAGTTTGGCTAAGGGGAAATCCGTTATAGAAGCACATTACATGGATGCCAGAAGCGAAGCTGTTGCAGAGAGTCTTTGTGGTATGCATGTTTTCCATTTAGACTGCTTGAATTGAAACTACAAATTGAATATTTTATGTCTTTATACCTGCTAGGTGTGTAACAGTTCTCGGTTAAAAATCTGCCCACCCACTGTTCGGTATGCACTGCTCCATGGTTAGTCTCAAATCTGAAGATGCTTCGATAATAGTGATGTGACAGGGAGGAAATTTCCCGACCAGTTAATAGGAGTGTGACACCCTGGTGGCAGGGATGTTAAATCACTAATTCGAAAGTAAAACGTTAAATTTGTTTTATTTTAGTGTTCTCTTGCTGAACTAAATTATTTTTTATTACTAAAAGACAATTGGGCAAGTGATGTAACCGGTGTTGTAGCTGAGCGCCGGGAACACAAAGTATCGCAGCAAGCCTAATCTATAATATGGTTTGTTGAAGAAAAATTACGTGTAAAACAGTTCCGCTACCCAAAATAACAACCTGAAAAGCACCATTTATTTTATTTTATCTTTGCTTTATTGTATTTATTTGAGCGATTGCTTGTAGTTTGATTATTTGTTCTTTTTTTTTTTCCGTCATAGACCTTTTTTCTGAACATGACACGTACTGAAACCGTGAGCAATTTAAACTGTTACACCCCTAATACATGTTCAATGTCTTTTTAGATATGGATTTTCGTGCTGCTCTGGTTTTACCTTCGGTGATTTTCAGGGAGAAAGTGGATGATTATATCACAATCGGACAGGTATTGAATGCAAAGAATTTAAAGCAAGTAGGGATGCACCGAAATTTAATTCAGATTCATTACATTATTGAATTTAATTAAACTCTTATAATAATACAATTATAAAAAAAAGAAAGAAATGTAGTGAAGTGAGATTAAATAAGTGTAGATGGACAGTTGTAACTAGTCATTGGGAACATGAATTTAATCCAGATTTACATCTTATGTTTATAATATTGTTTTTTCTATTTTTTTAGGAAGAACCAGCCACACCATATCCCACTGTACAGATTTTGGGAGCTTCTGACTGGAAACAGGTCTTCAGTGAGAAGAGAATCTTCAGCACTGTAAAAATGGAGGGATCTGAAGTTTGCAGAGCAGTTGGGGCAGAGGATGGTGTTCTCTCTGCTTTTTGCGCATATTTTGTATTCAACCTTGCGTATCCCTCGTACAACAGGAACACTCTACTCTTTCTCCAAAGGCATGTGTTGAAGGTAACTGCACCTGGTGATAAGCCATTGCCAACTGCTGTCGTCAGGATTATTAATTTTTTATCTTAGATTGAGAGGATGCCACGGCCCTATGCATGTCCAAAGTGTTCACGCAGACACTTTACTGTAGTGAAACTAATCAAACATATAGGATTGATTCATGCTCATGAGCATGACTTTTCCATCTGTTGCGGACTTGATGGATGCCAAAATTTCTTTTTCAAATACGAGTCTTTCAGGCGTCATGTATATAGAAAACAGAACTCACATTTGGCCAAGTCGTTATAACGTCACTGGAGCGGATGAAGTTGACATTAGTGACAATGAAGTCAACAATGATACTGCAGAGGATACTCCTGAAGATGTTGTGCTGGATATGAATGATCTTTTGACTAATTTAGATACATTGTGGATACTGTGTGGAAAACTGTTGCTCCCACAACTGTTTGATACTCATTTCCATGCATTTCGGGTTTTATATGACAAGGATTGATTTTGTGTGATGCCAGGAGAGGAACTGGACTACCAGGCAGTTGACCTTTATGCGATCGATGACCTCTTGAGCTAGATATGCATAGTCAAATCATTAGATATGTGCACACATCAATGTTTATAATTGAATTTTTTAAAAATGTTAATAATGTAATGTAAATGCAAGGGTATTGTGTGGAAGGTAAAAATGAATTTAAAAGTCTGAATTTTTTTTTTATTAAATAGCTTGTGAATTTTTATTGTAGAAGGGAGAATGAAATTGACATTTTAGTGTAATTGTTTTATGAAATGTTTTGTAGCAAATGGAGAAATGTTTTTTTTTTTTATGTTCAGTTAAAAATATGTTTGAAATCTCCATTGTTAACTGTAAAGAAGATTTTAAACAAAAAGAAAAATTTTAACCTGGAATAAGAGTATTGCGCTGAGGGTAAAAAAGGAATTTAAAAGTCTAAATTGTAAAGTATTAAAAAAGAACTTGTGAATTTTTTTGTATATGGGAGAATGAAATATTGTGATATTTTAGTGTAATTTTATGAAATATTTTGTAGGGAATAGAGAAATGTTTGGTTAAAAATATGTTTGAAGTCTCCATTGTGTTAAGATGCATTTAAACAAAAATATTTTTGAAGTCTCCATTGTGTTAAGATGCATTTAAAAATAAATAAATACATATTTTATCCTGGAACAAAGTATTAATTCAAAAACATGTATTTGATGTGAATGGTTTCTGACATTAAATCGATGCCTTGATGCCTTGTTATTTAATAGAAAAATGGCCTTTAATTGTTGAATACTTGAAGGAACACATTTGACACATTAAAAGTACAAAAGCAGTGTTGTAGTCGAGACCACCTCACTCGAGTCCGAGTCGACACTGAGACCAGAGAGAGTTGAGTCCGAGTCAAGACCGAGTCTATAGAGAGTCAAATCCGAGTCGAGTTCGAGACCAGAGACGCTCGACTCCGAGTCGAGACCGAGACCAGTGAGGGTTGATTACCTAATTTACTTGTATTTACTTAGAGAAATTTTTTTTTTTTTTTTTACTGAATTTACTTAGAGTTTAAAAAACATGATCAGTTTAGGGTAAAAAGGCCACATAGTAGGTGGTGTTAAAAGTAATTTTATTACAATTTGTCATGCGCAGTTGCACACTAGAAAATCACCAATCACTGGGCGTGTCAATCAATTTAAAGAAATATTTTATTAACATATATTAATAATCATGAAAAATATTTTGAATTGAACTCGAGTGGACTCGGGAATAATTCTGAGTCCTAAAAAAAAAAATGTTCGAGTACGAGTCAATTCCGAGTCCAAATGCACACGAGTCCATGACAAGACCAAGACCATTAAAATATGGTCTCGAGACCGAGTCCGAGACGAGTCCGAGTCTCGAGTACTACAACACTGTACAAAAGGGCTTGTCACTGGGGTGGTACCTTAAAGGATCAAATTTGTACCAAAGATGAAGGTACAACATTGTACCTTTTAAGTTGAAGGAAAAAAAAAGGTACATTTTGGTTCTCCATGGTACAAATCGTGTCCTTAAAGGTACAAACTGTAATGGTACAAATTTGTTTCTTTACATTGAGGTACAATTCTGTACCAGTAAAAGGTACCGCCCCAGTGACAAGGGTTTGTACCTTCTTTGGTACAAAATTGTACTTTTTTTTCCGAGAGTGCATGGTGCGCGAGGCGCCACCGCTCGCCGTGGGCCGGAGCCTGCTGCCGTCCGCCGCAGAAGGGGAGGAGCAAAGTAGCGGCCATGGATGCTCAAGGTGGGGCGCTGGGGTGAGTTGCCGATGGGATGCCCGAACCCGTCGCCCAACTGCCTGGAAAATGGAGGGTCGGCTGCCTTCTGGGAGGGAGAGGAGGAGTCACCCCCACTTGCCGTGGGCCGGAGCTTGCTGCCATCCGCCAGTAAAGGGGAGGAGTAGGGAGCGGGGGACCCCTGCCGTCTACCCATGGCACAGAGCAGCCGTTGGCATCCACCGGGCACCACTGAGGAGTTCGCCTATCTGGTGAGGGACAAGATGGTAGCGCGTTGTGGGAGCCGGACCAATTTTGTTTTTTCCACAATTACAGTTTCTATAAAAGAAGCTAGCTAGTTGACTAGCTAGTTGATGTCTTCAACGATGAACTGTAGTGAAGCATCGAGTTACGTCATTGCACCCCTAGATGATGACATCATTGTTTCCTCCAGAGCAGCTGCATAGATAAATTAACTAAATTAAAGGGGTGGTTGATTTGCGATTTCACATTTTTAATTTTAAATAGTGTGTGTAATAGTGTGTCCCATAAGCTCTCTGGAAGTTCCCAGAGCCGCAACAACACCAGCGAGCCATCGTCGTCTCCCTCTCTGTTTGACCCAGTGTCTTTTAAAACACCATGATCTGGTTCAGGTGTAAAGCCACGCACTCCAGCAATCAGCCTGCAACCCTGGGACAAACACACGAGCACTCACTGTACAACCACTCATTGAACCGTCACACTATGCTATATACTATATTGTTGTACTATATTTTATTTTACAATGACCTCTTAAATGTTAAAAGATAAACAAACATTTTATTTCTCAATTCATGAAATGAATGAACTAAAATATAAATTTAAAGTACAATACATTTTCATTTAAAGGGGAAATCAGGTTTACATGCTTTACAAGATGGATTTCCACTATAATCAAAAGTTATATAAGAATCATGACAAATGTAAACATATAAAAAAAAAAGAAAAAACTTTATATCTTTCATAAAGTACAGTCATTAGACAAAAAGACGACGTCTAATGTTATATGTTAACAAACTGCACATGGAAAGATTGTTCACGATGTCTGCCATCATATTCCCGTCTCATCAACACCATGTAAGTTACGTTGCTATGTAGAACAGCCGGCGGTGGTTTGGGGCGAAGAGCGGGTTTGCAACGCTACCCCACGTGTCAGTGTGGCTGTTGTATTGCGATGCCCACCGTGTCAGAGTCCGTCAGCTTTCAGGAGGTTGATATTGACCTTGTATTGCATGGTCAATTATGCATCACCGGCGCGCACGTTTACCATGCTGTGCCGGGAGGTAACTTAGACGTGTTGGAAGCGGCGATGCTTTCCCTAAGGATGTCAGAGCGGAGACACTTTTCCCTAATTTATGTAGCTACTAGCACTACCAGTGCGAAAACATGGGCGTTTCATTTCCCTTTTAACAAATACATGCTAACTTACATGGGTGTTGACGAGACAGGAATATGATGGCAGACATCGTGAACAATGTTTATATGTGCAGTTTGTTAACATATAACATTAGACGTCGTCTTTTTGTCGAATGACTGTACCTAACATTAGTCGTTCGCGGTCAAAACACTGGTGTAAACACAGTTTGATGTCGCGATTTTCACTGCCCAAAGAGCCTGTTAAACTGAAGCCAACCAACCCCGTGAGGTCACATGTTAGAATACTGCACAATGGCGGCGCCCTGGTGGCGAATGATATAAAGTATTTCTTTTTTTTCTTGTATATGTTTACATTTGTCATACATTTGTAAATCATGTAAACTTGTTTGACTGTTTCATTTCCCCTTTAATTGTAATTAATTATGTGTTACATCCAGTTAATGTTACACTTCATTTTAAGGTGTCATTGTTACAGTGTAATGATATATTTAAGTACTTAGTAAAATTAATTAACCACATACTTAGTTTTAATTAACTACATAGGCCTACTGGGTTAGGGTAGGATTAAGATTTGGTTGAGGGTTAGTTATACAGTATGTTATGCATAATTTACAGTTATTTCTATGGTAAGTGGAACATATAACAAAGAAACTGTAAAATAAAGTGTTGCTCTATTTTATTTTCACATTATAAATATTATTTTTTAAATGTAAGGGAGGACTTGCAGTCATATGAAAAAAAACAACCTCTTTGGAGCAGCTCATGAACTGTCGTTTTATACCAGCTGTGTGACAATTCTTCTAAGATTTATACTTCTCTACTGTGTTTTCCATAACAGCATGCAGCTTTGGTAAATCACAGAGTTAAGTAATGACAGAACCTGAAATAAATTTGTTGCTTGCAAATAAGAAACTTCTGAGATGAGTTTCTGATTATGCTTGCGTTTCTGTGTGTTGTGCCAGTAGAATATGGCTGATTGTCTGCCACGGCCTGAAATGACACATGCTTACATCATCACTAGTCAGACACAACAAACTGCATGAGTCTCGCTGGCGGCTAATCGAGGGGGAGGATTTACTCAATCCGATTCAAGAGCAATTTAGATATCTCATCCCTGTCCTGCAGCAGGAATTACTGCATATAGAAATCCATTTTGTTTTAGTCACACAGAAGAACCATTAGGCAAAAGTTGTGCATAAGCTCAACTAAAAAAGCAATAATCCTGAATCAACCCATTGACGTGTTTAAAAATGGAACTAATATACAAGCGTGTTTTCAAGTTCATCAGACACGCATGAGATGTGAAATGAGGGTTGAATTGAATTTTCTTCAGTTAAGTGACTAGCATCGAATTTTTACATGCTGTGATATATTTGTCTCTCATCATCTCAGACATTTCAGATGGGACTCTGTCATCTCCTACATGCGGATGCTGCTGCCATCAAGCTTGAGTCGGTGGAATCGCATCCCATATGTGGCTCTCCACCAATCAGTGATATGGGACAGTTCTTCAAGGAAGGAAGGAAGGAAGAAAGGAAAAGAAAGAATAGTGCTCATTCCCCCCCACAACAAAACAAACAAAAAAACATGTATCAGTGGCATATGAAGAGATAGCAGCAGTGTCCTGTATGTTTTACTGTGTCTTGCTGTAGGCTGAGTGTCTGTTTGTCTGTGGGAGTGAAACAAACGACACACACTGCTGATGATTCAAGTCTGTAGTCTGGGACTTTTTTGTTTAAAACGTGTTTAACCCATCCAGCCACTGTCTGCACTGGCTATCTGCTCCTCTTTCAAGCACGCTCATAAGGGATCGTCTGGAGTGCTACACTTGCCCCCTTTGATGCAATTTTTGACTTCTGTGATAGGGAATCTTTTTTTTTTTTTTTAAGGAATTAAACTGTGATTGTGATACAGATCAGGTTCTGTGTGAAGTGTAGGTGATGGAAGGAGACACAGGGTCGGCGATATCTGGGGCTCGTGCACTTTTATTTTTCACTCTTTCCACAGCGCCCTCCGCGCTCACAATAACGTAACTCAAATAAACAAATCACAAACAGAAAGTAAATGGGCAAAACGAACTCTTCCCGCTGGCTACAGCTTCGCAATAGGCTCAATCTCAATGAAGACGTCACTCGTCGTGTCTGGCCGGTCCGTGCACGAGCTCCCAGTCTCTCTCACAAGTGCTGTCTGCCAGGGCTGTTTATATGCGGTCTCCTCACGCCAATTACTGCAATCACAGACAGGTGTTCGTCATTTGAACTTG